TCCTGCCGCCGTACCGCCTCCAGCCGAGCCCTGAGCGCACCGCAGGCTCCGCGTTTCTCCGCGTGCCCTTGGCGGTAGCGAGTTCACGTGGTCTGCGCCTGGCAACCATCGAGGAGAGGAACGCCATTCTCGGCGCTTTTCCACCGGGGCAGCCGGTGCTGGTGTCGGGTTAGGGCTGTTTGCGGTGCCTGCGCACCCCAGAAGGATGCTCACCGAGCTCTTATCTTCCGACCTCTGCAGTGACAACTCCCAGGTGTTCCAGCCGTACGTGCTGCGAACTCGCAGGAACAGCACAACAGTGATGAGTCGTCATGGAATGGTGAGGAACCTCCAGCATGTTTTGTTTGCACTTAGGAAACAATTGCAGCAGATAAATGAAGCGGAGCTTAATTTGTCTCTGCACTAGGCATCCTAACAAGCTTCCAGGCTGCACAACAAGTGTTTTTTCACCTGTAGCTGCAGCTACAGTGAAATACTACTGGTGTGTTAACTGTGTCGCCCCAGGAAGACAATAGCAGAAGTTACATGTGTTTCCCAGTACAGTCTTAATTAGTCTTAAGTTAATTTGGGCCTGGCGGACAAAATTGTTGTTGCAATTGAAAGCCTTTTAATTTTTTGTGAGAGTCACAATTCTTTGTTGACCTGCTGGTTTGAGTTAGTGCAAAGGCTGAACACTAGACCTCAGAAAAATCATTTAAGGAAGAGTAATTGATTTGTTGCTCTCTGTTGTAGTCTGATATTGTACAATGCTGTTTCACATTTCAAAAGTGCTGCATTTCTTCTTTTTGCCCATTCCTTGTCAACTCAGGGATCTACATGCTCCTTCCACTGAAGTTTTTCTGTCTCATTTGAGGGTAGTAGAGATTCATTATTGCTTTTCTCAAAACCTTTAGAACTTTGTCCTGAAATAAGTTTTTTCTATACCTTATGTTTAGAAGAGGCAAAATGGGATTTGAATTCCAAATCTTATGTTGTGAGATTTCCTAAATACAAGAATCCAAGATTTTGGAGCACACATCAGTGGGTGTGACAGTGGGAACTATGTAGAGTCCCAGAGGAATTAGATGCATGAAATGGCAGAAGTAAAGCTTTAGGGAGTGTTCAGTCTTGAACTGAAACACTTTAGATTTCTCCTCTGCAACAGCAGCTGTTTGAGTGAGGCCCTGCAGGAGTTTGTCACCTCACTCTGGCAGTGAGGGATTGTGCAATGCTCCTGGTTTCATTCAGATTGTCTCACTTGTCTGAATGCCTCTGTAGCTGTTTGTGCCCAAGATGCTGTGCAGTGTCTGCTTGCAGGTCAGCTCTGTGCTGCTTGCTGAGCGAGACAAGGAATCTGCAAGTGGTAAAACAAGTCTTTTCTCTCGAAGGTCAGTGTTTGCTTTTTGCAACATGGTTTCAGTCATCCACGTGTAGTTGTGCAGCTCATTTTTAACTCCCTGGGAAGGCAGTGGATGGTAAATAGTCTGTGTGTAGGAGTTGTGTGTGATTTAACCCTTGTGGCTGTCACTTTTTTCCCCAGTTCTTGTCATCGTCTCCCATCCGTATTCCCAGCAGTCGCCTTCACCAGATCAGAAGGGTAAGTGCAGTGTTTACTGTGTATTTAGTGACAGAATCAGAAATGTTATATAATACTGAAGCACTTACATAGTGGGAGTTTCTCTCCTATTGACTTTCTCAAGTCCTAGAGGAAACTGAGGCTTTTATAAGATTTAATTCCAACAAGGAAATGTCCTTGCAGGGCTCATTGGTACGTTTGAGCTGCCTTGCACTTCTGGAGTGTTGTTTCACTTGAGAGAAGCAGTGAGCTGCACTCGTGGCAGCCTTGCCTTTCTGTAGTGCCTCTACTGTTCTTACTTCATTTCTGATGGCAAATCATTGAATCACAAGTGTTACTTCAAGTACCTGTGATGAATCAAATGTTACGGAGAAGCTTATGACATTTATCTCCTGCAGGAGGAAGGAGTGGATTTAATGAACAGAGAAGCAGCGCATGAAAGGTGAGTGTTATTGAAAGAAGATGATAAAATAGCCAGAGTTATCCTCTTTGTAGCTACTGATGGGGTTTTTTGTGTTCTAGGGAAGTGCAGACAGCAATGCAGATAAGCCAGTCATGGGAGGAAAGCTTGAGCCTGGTAATCTCTTTATAGATGTTTCCTATTGAATTCTACTTTCACACTCAATTGATGAATTTAAGGGCAAGAGAGGAATTAACTGTGACAGTAATTTAAGAAGAACTTAGGTTCATCTGCTTTAGCTACTTTGTGCATTTGACCCAATGACTTTCCATTAGAAGGTTGTGCCTCGGATTTCAAGGTAATGTCCTGTGCCAATGTTGAGTCTCAAACTTTGTGTTCACAGAGTGACAATGACTTGGACAAGTCTGAGAAATCCTTTTCCCCAAAGAGAATAGATTTCATCCCAGTTTCGCCTGCACCTTCACCTACAAGAGGAATAGGAAAGGTAGGATAAGTGAAATACCAAACTGGGAGAATGTTTTAAAATTCTAGGCCAAGCTGAGCTGTCAAGTTGTGTAACTTCACAAATTGTTTCACAGTTGAACAAAACCAAACAACACAACCAAACAGGCACTGAAAAACCCCAACCCGAACCTGTATTTTATGGGTTTCTAAGAATCAGGTGGTGACAATCTTAGGGCCTGCAGAGTTTGAGCAGTGAAACACTGGATGTTTTCAGTTGCTGCTGTTTGTGCAGTGTGTGGGTTGGTTGGTGTTGGGGTTCTGGGGAAGCCAAAGAGGTCGTTAATCAGATTTGGATATGATCTTTAGCTGCAGGAGTGGAACATCCTGGGGAAGAAGTGCCAAAATTGGAATGTGTCATATATGAAAGTAAGAGCATATATGAGAGTAAGAGTGCAAACGTGTGTGGGGAGAGGAGTGAAAATGAGTCCATCAGTTCTGGAAAGGAAGGCACAAACACAATGTAGAGGAGCACTCGGGTGTGCTCAACTTGCACCAAAAGCTGAGAAAGGGCAGAGGTGGGTCTTGGATAACTGCTTTTCCAGTGAGGATTGGGAAACTGATGTAGCACAAAGAAACTGGTGTTTGGGTTTAAAGGTGAGCTGCTTGGCCTTGATTTCACCCCATTTTGTGATTCTGCTTTGTACTGCTACTGTCTTACTGCAATACCTACCAGTACTGGTACGTGGAGCAGCCACACACTAGTGTTGGGAAATGTGTTCCTGGGATAACACTGGTGCTGCAGCTGGTCCTGCACCTTTGGAATCCCAACTGTAGAGCAGTAGTAAAGACCTTGACAGAAAGATCTTTGTGTTTAGCTGTGAGCATTCGTTAGCTGCAGAGCCACAGAGCTAAATACCCTGTTCTACACTGGAATATTGTCAGTTTTCAGGTCAGATGTATTTTGAGTAAATTTAACTTGTACAGGCCCCTGGAAAGAAGCAAGTCCTGAGTAATTTACTGCTGCTTCTAAATGTAAGGAAGACCAGAAACAACTGTCTTATTTATAGAACAGTGTCTGTTTCAGTTCCATGTTTCTTCTGGGTTTAAGGAATGAAAGCATTTTAAAGGAAAATCTGAAGCATCTTAATGTGACTCTTTTTCCTGCAGCAATGCTTTTCACCATCATTGCAGATGTTTGTGAGCAGTAATGGATTACCTCCAAGTCCTATTCCCAGTCCAACAAGGCGATTCTGCAAGTAAGTAATGTGCAAGTAACAGGTGTACATTGTGCTGGTGTTGGAGTTTAAGTCAGGGATAAACAAAGCTGATGTTAAGGCATTAAAAGGCTTGAGTTTTACAATAGCTGAAGCATTGCCACATCAAAATGCTCTGAAAGTTCAGTCTTTACCAGTGTAAAGGTTTATGTAGGTGGTGTTATAGAGCCTGTGTCAACTTTAAACAAGACTTGGTAACTTGTGGGAAAGTTCCCAGTACTTCAGATTCACTTTGTCAGCAGATCAGTTTTGTATAAATACTACACATGATTTATAAATGGATGTGATGCACTAAAGGAAGGAGAAAGAACTTGCAGTAAGTTTGTGTGGCAGATGATCTGCTCTAATAGGCAGCACTTATTTGTTATCTTTGTGTTTAGATTCCCTAAGCATTCCAGTTGTGCAGGAATAGTTGTGGAGAATGTTTCATATGCTGTGGTTGTGTTGGTTTGATGTGACTTGGAACCTCTACAGGCCTGACTCAGTATTCTCTCTCTAGCAGGAGGAGTCAGAGTCCAATCAACTGTATCAGGCCCAGTGTTCTTGGCCCCCTTAAAAGAAAAGGTGTGTATATTGACATTATCAGATGTATAATGTAGATGTAGTTTTGCAGCTGGATACATTTTTTTGTGGTTCTGTAAGCATAATGCAGTTGTATCCACAGGGAACTGAAATTTGCCTGTCATAACTTACCCATGCAATGTGAAGTAGCTGCTCTGAAACACAAGAATGGAAAACTTTAAAAGCAGCTACTGATTGAAAGAGGCAAACTTTATTACACATCAAATGAAATGTTCTGAATATCGTAAGCCCTGACATTCCTGCGAGTCCCACTGAGCAGTGCACACCCTGCAGATCATCTCAGGAATGTTGCTTATCATGCAACATCTTCTAAACTTAGTACTGAATGTTTGTTTTCACTCTGAAAGTTCAGAAGGTGAGTGTTTAGAGAAATGGAATGGATCAGTGCTTTTTCCTCCTGAAGGGGGAAAACTGAGTTCTTTCCTGGAAATGTTCCATGCTGGGGAAACTCAAATCACATCCCAGAACAAGCCTCCTTAGCAAAACTGTGAGACTGAGAGATGTACAACTGTGCCTCTGGCTGTGCTTACCCTTCCTGCTTTATTTTTTTTAACCTGGGCATTCTTAACTGCACCCGAAGCATTTGATTTTACAAGACTTTCATTTAGCCTTTGAGAGAGGTTACTGTTTATTGTTTGGTTTTTTAGGACTGCTTGTCCTAGCAGATCCAGGAACATTGCCTAGTGGATATTGAATTGACAGGGGAGAGAGAGAAGTTTTCTCACAGATGCCAATTCTATCTTGGCTGTAATTTTCTACAAATTTTAAAGGCATTAAAATTGAACAGAGGTTTATTAAGCTCAGTGATCAATAGTTTTTCATACTGTGCTGTTTTACTGTAAACTTTTTACAGCAGACTTTACACAGGTTGTATTAAAAGCAGTGCAGGTCAAGTCAGGCATTCCTCACCCCATCCATGTGCTCCTGTGGAAGGTCTTTTACAAAGTGGAGATACGAGTTTGCCTTTTTTTCACTTGAAGTACCAAGGAATTTTCAATATGCTTCTTAATTTTAAAACTTTTAATCCATTTAAATGGGTCATACTCTACAAGTGTCGCCATGATGTGTGTGCAGTGTTCTGAGGAACATTTCACTGCTGCAGGGGGTTCACATTGGAAGTCTGTGCAATGTGTTGGAGCAGTGCAGATGTCTCTTTGTGAAACGTCAAGTAGCAAAAGAGTTACCAAAGTTGGTGGTTTGAGTTTTCTTCAGTTCTGTGTAAGAGCAAGTGTTTTACGAATGCCTTTTGCCCATTCTGCTTGCTGGGAGCTCTTATTCCTTTACCTTCAAAGAAGGGAGTGTATCCCTGTGGGCTAAAGGAAATAGAAAATTTGGGAGTTGTAAGTCTTTCAGCAATTGGCAGTATAATTCTCTTGCATAATGTATTGATAGATACTGGTTTGCTGGAATGCTTAACCTCTGTCAGGTTTTCAAGCTGACACTACAACTACTGCAAAGAGTAGGTGAAAAGCCAGAAAAATACATTATCATTTCATAGGGTTTTATTGTCAAACTAAAAATGAAAATGCTCTATAGCTGAGAGGGTTTGCTTTATTTTTAAGCTTTTTATTGACAGGTTCATGGTATTTCCAAGTGTGTTGTGCAGCAGCTGCTAATGACTCAGCTCGTTCTCAGGGCACAGTGAACTAAACAGTTGTATGAGTTCTCCCATTTCTCTCATATTTTATCTTTTAATGTCAGGAGATGGTTACAGGTACAAAGAGTCAGATCTGTGATGAGTAAGTGGAGATGCATCCACATGCCTGATATTTTCTGTTCAGCCCCTCTGTAAAAGTGTACCTATGGGTCAGAGTTTCTTGTCTAGGGGAAGGTGAAACTGAACCACATTGGTATTCTTACCTTCCTAGTCACTAAGAGTTTTAGTCCCCATATTTTGGCTTATGTCAGTTACTTTAGCTCAGCTGCTTACTTAAAATGAAGTCATGGTAATCAGTTTGCTTTAGATTATTTTGTCTGATTGCAGTACAAGTAGCAAGTGCAGAGCTTTATGTCTTTGAGGTCACTGTAGCCCCTCAGAGACTGCTAAATCATTAGTTACATGAAGGGTGGACTGGGTGGTTAAACAGCAGCATCAAATTAATGTCTTACCCAAGTGCTTGGTTGTCTGAATTGGAGGATTTATGTTACAAGTGCAACCTTGGAATATTGTGGGACAAACCTCTCTTTTACAACAGACAAATATTAAATGGGTGTTCCAGAGACTCAAGTGAGTTTGATTATTGTTAGGGTTTTGTAGGGGCTCCTCTGTTGCTTTAAGGAATTTTCCCCCATACATGTTATCAGAAGATGTTGATGATTGGATACTTAAGAGAGACAAAAAGACCTCAGCCAACCGAGACAGAGGAGCCGCTACAAAACCCTAACAATTATTTGCACTGTTTTCCTTAGGTGAAATGGAAACTGAAAGTCAGCCAAAGAGACTTTTCCAAGGAACAACCAACATGCTTTCTCCAGATGTTACACATCTGACAGATCTCAGTTCATGGTAAGATATTTCATATGCCCTGAAATGCCAGAACAGGGAATGTGCATTTATTACAAGCTTTCTTGTTTTTCTCCAGGGAGAAAATGCTTCATGTGTAGGTTGTGTGTCTATATTACAGGGACCATTCCTGTGGGAGTGTAGTGTGACAATGTTCCTGCTCCTTTGACCAAGCAGATTCCAGCCTAGATTTTGTGTATCAGAAGTTTTATACTGAATGTAATTGCTAGAAATCCCCAGTGATTCACAAGCAAAGTTGCTTTGCCTCCCAGATGCTTTGTCTTTCCAGTGTGTTGCAGGCACTGGTCACACTGTGTCTGTGGTACTTTTCCTGGATATTTCCAAAATGTATGTGAGTACTTAATAGCTCATGTTGCTGCATTCATGATTTTAGTGTTGCCTTTACTATGATCATAAAAAGCTGAGTTCTTTTGTTGAGTCAGTAAGTACTCAAAAATACCACCTCGATTTCTCTAATTTCTGTTTACTTACAGACTTGAAGCTGCTTAGACATTTTTTTCCTGTTGCTTCCCCTTGAATCGCAAAAGCATCAATTTATGTGCCCTCTGGGGTCTTGTATCAAGGCTTCAAAATCCACACACAGGAATCCTTGCTTACAAGGGAAAAATAGGTCTCAGTCTTGCTCTGACTAGTGCAGTGTTAAAAAGCATACCAGCTAATTAGTGACACTTTTGCTGCATTGCTGATTAGTTTCTTTGTTATTCCTTTCCTGTAACTCTTTAAGGTTTTATTCTCATTATTTGTCACTTCCTTTCTGTGACTGTTTAAAATCAGAGTCATAATTTATTCTGCATGTTAAAAAACGCAATTCTGCTCCTCATTCCCATGAGGAACATGAATATATGTAACATGCTACAGAAAACAAGGAGTTTTCAGGGCTGCCAGTCTTGCAGTAAAGACTGAGTGGTAGTATAGGTCTCCTACATCTCCTCTGCGAGGGGAAACACATTGGCTGTGTACAGAGTCCTCATGTCCTTGTACCAAGTAACCTTTTCCCCTTTCCCCAGCCTGTCCTCGGACATTCTTGATGGGAGTAGCAGCAGCGTTGGCTCTTCCTCTGATTCCCTGACTAAAGGCAGCATCACCACCGAGTCTCCAGTCACATGCTCCAACTCCTGCTCTTCCTTCATTCTGATGGATGACTTCTCACCCAAGTGACTTACCAAGTCCTGAGTCAGTGTCTGGCTGTGCTGTCCCCTTGCTGTACACTCGTACAGAGAAATGAACTCTGATCCTTGAATCATGACTATGAGGTTTATGAAAAGGAAAAATTGTTGTTACTGTAATCTTGGCTACTTTCCAGTGATTATTTTTGTTTATCCATTTAATGGACATTGTACATTCATGTCTGGGTTTGCCAGTTTATTTGTAAAACGAGAGATGTCTGCTGATATTGTACTAACTTTTGCTTTCAGGAACTTGCATACACTTTTTGATTCCAGGAAACAGGTGTCTGCCTATTAGTGTTGCAATTTTAGGGAAGTATTC